TGGTTCGACCTTCTCTGACAATATGCATGGCTGGAGTTTGAGGCAAATTTACCATTCATTGTATGATGCACATGCATTATAATGTAGAAAGGAATGAGGAAGTTGAAGCAGTTGAAAAAAACGGATTTCAGGCAAGAACACTATGGGGAAATTTGAAATTTCTTTATTGAATTTAATTGGAAAAACTTGTTAGGCAAGGAAGCAAATGAGATGCATGTCAAAGATTGTGAAATATATGATAAAGGCACAACAAAATTTATACAAAAACAGATGCAGAACTAGGAATCGGGATTGGTTCAACAGAAACTGCGAGGGAGGGGGGGGGGGGGCCTAGAGACCAGAATATTAAAAAATGGAATCGATATAGGAATATGCCAAACCCTCAAACCAGCCTATCTTCCTGTTTAGCTAGTACATATAATAATAATGGTGATGACCATAGTACACATGATGTAATGGACAATTTGAAAAGTAGAAATTGTTACTATTGAATTTGGACAGACCGAAAAAGGTTTTTGTATTTGTTGCAAAGTCAACATAAACTATCCTAACATTCCTTGGCCTAATACATGCTATCTGAGGCCTAATATAGTACATATGTGCTATACTAGGCCTATGAATATTTAAATTTGTTTTTAGCTTTATTTTTTGTAATTTATAAAGTGAATACTGTAGTTCCAAATTCTACCATCTAATTGCCTTTTATGTAAATGTGTGTACTACTATCTAAACAGGAGTATGGATTGCTCAAATGTACCAACAATACAAAGAAACACAAAATTGCATGGCAGGGAGAAGAGGTAAAAAGAAATTTTGAGAAAGGGATGGCAGACAAATGTATAACAGAACCAGGCCTATTCTACAAATGCATTTAAAAGCGAATTACAGGTAAAGGATAATTTTCAGAGGTTGAAAATAGAAAACAGATTCCAAGAAAATGGAAAGGAAATATGTGAAACATTAAACAAATAGTTCCAAAATGTGTTTCTGCAAAATTAAATCTTCGGAGAACCAGACACGATACAAATTTCCAGAGAACAACATAAAGCACATAGGTGTCTAAAGACTGAGGAAGAAATGCTCAAGGAGCTAAGCAAGAACAAAGCAGTTGGCCCGGATGGAGTTTCACCTTAGGTCCTGAGAGACTGCTTACATGAGCAGCACTCACATCAGCAGCTCAGCATTCCACTTAATTTGATTTTTCAGGCGTCCCTGTGTGCAAGAGTCCTAGAAGATATTTGTATGTGGAAAAAGGCTAACATAGTTCCAATCTACAAAAGTGGCAGCAGAGAAGGCCCCTTTTAATTCTAGAAATGTATAATTGACAAGTGTAGTAATCAAAATATCGGAAAACAAAATTAAAACTAAATAGATAGAACTCCTGGAGTAAAATTATATAACAACAAACCAACAGTTTTGTTTTGGTCTGGAAGATCCTGTGTAATGAATTTATTTTGTTTCTATGATAGCCACAGAGATTTTACAAGAGATGGTTGGGTTGACTGCATCCAACTGGACCTGAAAATGGCTTTCAGCAGAGTCCCACATAAAAGGTTCTGGAAATGAACAAACTGGAGGAGTGACAAGTAGGCTTCTAACATAGATGAAAAGTTTTCTGACAGAAAAATGAGGGCAGTAATCAATGTATCAAACTTGAGAAATGTCATGAGTGGAGTACCACAGGGTTCAGTTCTTGCACTGGTAATGTTCGTAGTCAACTTAAACGACTTACCAGAAGGAATGCTAAATTACATAAATATGTTTGCTGATGATGCTAAGATACTTGGGAAGATAAGAAACTTACACAGTTGTCATACTCTCACAAGTCGAGCCTGGCCTCAGGCCGGGCTTGGAGTAGAAGAACTCCCAGAACCCCATCAAGCAGGTATCATGCCTTTCAAGAAGACCTGGACAAAATAAGTATGGAGCAACACTTTGTAAATGGAATTTAATGTGAATGAATGTCATAATGCGGAATGTGGAATAGGAAAAAATTTACCACACACAACCTAAAATTTTGAAAATGCTTAAAAATTCAGATACAGAAAGAGATGTAAGGGTGGTTCTAGGTAGAAAACAATCACCTGAGGACCACATAAAGAACATTATGCAAAAGCCTATGCTTTCCAATTTCAGAATTGCTTTTAAATACATGGATGATGAAATACTAAAGAAATTGTTCGAAATCTTTAAGAGACCATAGCTGGTCTCTTAAAGAGCTGTTGCTGACAGCTGTTGTAGAGTGCCCATATCTTAAGAAGCACATCAACAAACTGGAAAAGATGCAAAGATGTGCAACTAAAGGGGTCCAGGAACTAAAAGATAAGAGCTACAAGGAGAGGTTAGAGGCATTAAATATTCCAAAACTAGAAGATAGAAGAAAAAGTGATATGATCACCAAGTACAAAATAGAAACTGGAATCTACAAAATTGACAGGTAAGAATTCCCAACACATGGAACTTAAAGAACTTCAAAGTCATAAATTTAAGCCAACTAAACAAAGCTGCTGAAGAAATGTAAGAAAATTCTGTTTTGTAAACAGAGTAGTAGACAGTTGGAACAAGTTAACCGAGGTGGTGGTGGTGGCCAAAACCGTCGGTAGTTTCAAAGCGCTATACGACAGTGCTGGGAAAAATGGTCATCATAATCATAGCTCTCATCCATTAACTACACTTGTGTAATTACCTACGTGACAGGCTAAGTGCAAAGGCAATTTGTAGAGGCTATTTGGAGGCATCAAGCTGTTTAACAGTATATGATACAAACTATAACTGACTAAACAGATGAATGTAATACAATCTTACAAAGGAGATTTGATACAAAGAAGACAAAGGAGACGACAGAGTGAGGTGAGCAAGGTAGATTGAGGTGCGGCTAAGGTGTGCTGCTTTGTGAGGTGGCTGGGGCTGCCTCGGGCAGCGAGTGTGGCACGGGTGGTGTAGCCACGAGACACTAAGTAGAGAATCGCCTGGCTCCCGCACTGATGAATTCAGGAGCGCGCTTATAACAGTACACCGGGTATACTGTACACACTATCGTGATTTTGCCGAAGGCTGACTGAATGGACGCTGAAATATCCTTGGGCACTAGGTGAGAGGTGCACGGGGAACCAACAGAGTGGATGAAAAATATATAGAGTCCTCAATCCCCCAATAATTTGAATATCACTGACGGAATTTCACTCGACCACTTGGAATCGCATTGCTCGATCTCTTTCCCACAGTTTACTCAGTGATGAGGTGATGGATCGGTCTAGATGAAGCCGATGAACACCGATTACTTGACACAGTCCGGTTGCACCTGTGGGGTAACACGTGTGACGGCCAAGACTTCTATCTTGTATCTTCGTTATGTGACATCTACCAGCACCCTGCGATTACCAGTCTGTGACGATAAGGTAGGGATGGGGGAGATACACTTCAGGTGGCTGAACTTTGATGTAGACAGGAATAATCCCCTGCTCTGGCCAGAACAGAGGGTCCACGTCTACCTAAGACAGCGCTAGAGGACAGAATGGCACCGCTTTGGGCGGGAAGAGCATAGGGCCCCAGGCGTCCCCTGTGTGTGACATGGCCATTTAGTTTCGAGCATCAGCCGAGGCCTCATGCCTCGCCAAATCCCAGGAAACCTGCCAGCGACGTGACATAATGGCGACAGTCACCTCAGGACAGTCCCTGTCTCTCTCTATTTTTTCCCTCCCCTTTTTCTCTTTCTTCTTCTCCTTCTCTTTCTCTTCTGTTCTTTTCTTTTCTCTTCTTTTTTCTTTTTTCTTTTTTCTTTTTTCTTTTTTCTTTTTTCTTTTTTCTTTTCTCTTTTCTTTTTTCTTTTTTTTTCTTTTCTTTTTACAACTTGATACCAGAATTCAGGCTGAACCTGTAACTATTTATCCAGAAATGCTACAGCAACGATCATTAGTTTCTTGGACAGCTGAAGGTGTCTGCTTTCCAAAAACACATAATTTCACCCTATCTGCTATACTGAGAGAGAGAGAGAACTTTTTTTTGCACACTCGTGCACTTTCTGAAAATTACTAAGATCAAAATATTGATTTTCTACTTTTATCAACTATGTGTAAGCTAGCTCAGAAATGCAATCTCTGACAGTGGCTTGTCAATGGCCTCGTTGTTTGTGTTACATCTGACCTTTTAAAGCTGTGTCCTCCAAATAGTTCATTGCTGTATTTTACGTTTCAACGAGATCAGCCATGTCATGTCTGATTTGCAGTGTTGCTAGCACACATGCCCTTATCAGCCCAGTTGACACTAGCAACTTGTGAGCTTTATGACTGGCATAGGTCTTTATTGAAATCTTCTGTTTATATTAGATGAGATATATTTTTTAATCTTTTTGATTATTAAATTTGAGATTGAAGCTGAATTCATTTGCATCTGTCTTGGAAATTCAGTATACAGCTCCAACTGTAGTATTAGTGTCGGAACCCTTACTGATGTACATAAAGTATTCCTTATCTCTACTTTTGCCTAATTATATCTTAACCGTCAGCAGGCGGCTGACAGCTGGGTGGACAGCGCTTCGGATTTGTAGTCTTTAGGTTCCAGGTTCGATTCCTGGTGGAGGCAGAGACAAATGGGCAAAATGTTTCTTTCACCCTGATGCTCCTGTTACCTAACAGTAAATAGGTACCTGGGAGTTAAACAGCTGCTATGGGCTACTTCCTAGGGGTGGAGGCCTGGTCGAGGACTGGGCCGCGGGGACACTAAGCCCCGAAATCATCTAAAGATAACCTAACCATGCCCTTAATTTTTATCATAGTTCAGTACATTCTCAACAGACAGCTTGCCACTGTATGTAATGAATGTTCTACCACAGCCTACCAAGTATTGTTGAGCCTCGTCTTGATATGGTTTTCTTGAAGACCTTCTTGAGATTAGCATTTTTTTTCTTCTGCTCACATTTTTCTTTTGCTCACATTGCCTAAAAAAATGATAATGAAATTAACTAAATTGTGAAATTAATGCAAACAATTTTTCCTCAACAGGTATGAGCGTCTGTTGCGACGTGCCAAAAATGAAGATCTGAGCGAGGTTTCAGGAATTGGCTGCCTGTACCAGTGTGGTGTAGATAAACTTGGACGACCTGTGATCATCTTCATTGGCAAATGGTTTAAGTTCACTGAAATAAACTTGGAGAAGGTGTGTTACTTGTGTTGTTGTATTAAGTTTAGCATTTTTTCTTTTGCGAGAAAATGTGAGTTTAGCTCACATTTTTCTAAACGTTTTCTTGTTAAATACAAAATTTTATTTCTGATACCTTACAATTCATAGTTTTTCCATATTTGTCTTGAAATAATATTGGGTCCAGTAGCCTGTTTGTGCATAGAGCTTTATTTTTGGCAATAGGAGCTTTAGGAATCAATAATTAGAAACACATATGAAGGCTTATTAAATCAGCAAGAGTAACAATTGAAAAGTATTAGGCATGTAAAACAAGATCATGGCAGAGGTTTTAGATATAATGTACCAATTTGTGTAGAGAACTTTGGAGAAAAGAGGCGATACACGTCCCATTTGGCTTGCGTCACATGCTGCTCAAAATTGGTTAAATACCCACAAGTGTAGATTGTGATATGGAGAACTTACTTGGTAAAGTAAGGGATTTTTGCAAGTTCAAATTTTCACTGTACAGTATTGTGCTTTAGAGAGAGGTCAGTTTAAAGTTGCAAACTGGTTTAATGGATTTTGAATTTAAAAAGATATGGACATGGCCACTCTTATGCTTATGATGCTACATAGTCTCCTCGCCTTGGTGCCGTCTTTTGATAATTAGTTAGTTATGCTTATGATATAAGCTGATTAGAGTAGATAATGTAGAACTGAAGCCTTCTGCTGTTATTTATTCACCAGACAAAATGTATTAGGTTGATTGTTGTATTGATATCACATATAGTTACACAAGGAAATCACTAACATGATAAACATGATATATCAATGAGAAAATTAAATGGGGCAATAAGGGAATTCGAACCCTCAACCTGGCACTCTGGATGGCACTCCTAAGTTGTGCATCTTGCCTCTGGACCACAACATGGTAAGAGTAAAACAACCTGGGATTTCATTGAATTCACAAATACCTCTGGAGGTCCCTACTGGAGCCAGTCTAGGTTTTACATATAATCCCATGCACTCTGGTTCTTTATCATACCAAAGTGCATGAGGGTTATACTGTAAAACCTAGACTCACTTCAGCAGGGGCCTCCAGATGTCCTGTGGAATCTTGTTGTTATAGATTCAGTTACTCGGAACAAAAAGTTCCAGGTAGCACGGGCTATGGTGAACCCGAAGTGGACTTGGTACAGGAGCTAGGGCTGTTCATGATGGGTTCAGTGGAATCCCAGGTTGTGTAACTTGTACCAAGTTGTGGTCCAAAGGTAAGGGGCATGGCTTGGGAGTATCCAGATCAGGGGTTCAAATCCCTTCATTGCTCCAATTTTCTCACATCATGTTGTATTTTTTTTTTAATTTAATTAAAAAATCAATCTTTCAAGCCTAGAATCTTACACTTTCTTAACTGATAATGAACAAATGTACGTTTTTCATTGCCATAGTAGTTTTACAACCAATGTTTATTATGACTCTTACATAACTAAATAAAAAATTTCAGGCACTTTTGTACCTGATCCACTTGTTGGATCCACTTGTCAGAGGGGATTATGTGGTGCTGTACTTCCACACAATCACTATGGCAGAAAACCATCCATCCCTTTCCTGGATAAGACAAGTTTATGAGGTTCTTGAATACAAGTAAGTTGGAATATTAAGTAGTGTAGGCTTGGTCTGTGTGGAAGGAGGGAATGAGGAGTTCATTATGATTTGCTATAACCAAAAGCTTTGTCTCTGAATTTGACCCATATATATTTAAATGTTAATTTCCTTACTGTATATTCATTATGGAATATATGAATATGCCCTAGAGTTTTAGTTTCTCTTTTGGCAGAAGATTTCCTCTGGCAGGATGGGGGTGTTTGTGTAACCTTCCCTCAAGTCAGCCTTTAACATAAAAAATATCTTCTTGAAGGTGGCAGCTTCAATTAGTGGTTCTACAAATGCTGTAGGAAGCTGCATGAACTTGTATATAAATCTGTATATATTTATATGGATAAAGACAATAAAATGCAGTGGGACAGAATCCAGAAAAAACTAGATGGTGATATCCATTGTATAATTTAAATAATTGTATAAACTAATGATGTAAAGCATAACCTTGCCCAAATGGACTAATAATGTTAGGTTTCATCCACGATTCTAGTCCACAGAATGTATCGCCATTAATTAAAGCACTTTAGCATTTTTTTTATCAACCTCAAAATAATACACATCTTTGTACACATGCAGACCACTAAATAATATATAAACAATAACATTTAAATACTGTATACTAGTAGCAAAATAAATGAAAATACAAAAATTTAGATAAATGTGATTTTTAACTGAAGATGACCAATTTGCTCCTTGTAACCTTCTGTAGGCTACTTACCTGGACAGTATTTAAGGTGGATCCCTACCAACCTTGTTGAGTCCGGTTCCTGATGACTGTCCTGACAGCCATTTTTTTTATTATTTTTCATCCAGCAGTCTATCATATTGGTTCCTAGGGAAGTGGAAGGGGAGGCCTCACCAGGATGTTTGCCAATGATTTACCTTTCTGCTAGGCCAGCATTAGTGGGTTTCTTGGAAAAATTTCCACTTTGCGCGTGTATTTTGTTTAGCCACCCCCACAGGATGTCGAGTTCTCTACATATCGGCCCAGCCAAAGTGGGTACATTTAGCATGGGTATGATCAGTCTATCCATGCTATTGCGCTTGTTATTTCTTCGGGTTAATAATTGCCTATCTCTTAATGCCTGTCTTCTTGCCACTTCTCTGAGAATAGTTTCAGAATCTATTCTTTCAATCGGTAAAGAACCCCCATAGTTCATTTAACACTTCCTCCAGCTTTTCCACTTCACTTATTATTCATTTTAGTCTTATTGCTGGTGAGTAGGGAAGGGATCGTTTGAATGCTTGGGGCTGGCATAACAGCAAATATGAGTAGAAGTGGTTTGAAATCTCCTATTATCTCGGTAGACCCTTGTGTTCAGGAAAGCCAAATCTGATTCACTACTCTTTTAGTGTAAATTTAAGATTCCCATGTACTCCATTAGACCAGTCAAAGAAGTCACATAGATTTTGTTCTCCCCCCCCCCCCTTTTCCTCCCCTGCCATGATACCAATGATGTGGTCTATGTATCTGATGTAGATAAGGGGTGCTGAAGCATACTGTTTTCTAAGCTCCTAAAACACCATATGAGCAAAAATTTGACACTGACACTAGCTCCTGTCGCTGTACCTGTGATCTAAGTATTATGAGGGACACACACTTACACTTTAATGATATGTAGTATACATTCCTGTAACAGGACTCTGAATGATGGTCACCAGACCCCTACATCACACAGCTCCAATTGAATCTGTCCTTTATGCGTGTCAAAGAAGGTCGCTACCTGCCATGCTGCCTCCCTCTGGGGATTGCTAGGGTTCAAGGACACAACGTTCAAAGAGAAGAGATGTGACCCCTAGTGGAATTGGATTTTGGTGGTTTTGCAGTCTTGCCAGGAAATCTGTTGTTCCTTAGTTATTTCAGTGAAAAGCCCAAAGCGGTGTTAGAAGTGCTATGCACACAGTCTACAGGTCATGTCAGTGACTTAAGAACATTAAAATAAAGGGAACTGCAGAAGGCCTATTGGCCCATACGAGGCAGCTATTTATGACCAGCCAATCCGCACGGGTGGTTATGCCCACTTGCAACCACTTTGTACAAGTCTTCCTGTCCATGTCTATGTTGATGAGTTAATGGGTTTGTGTATTTTGGCCAGAACATTAAGTGGCTGTATTTTAGAAGCAAATGCTATGAACGCATCCCTGGCCATCGCTATAAGTAGTCCTGCCCTTACCCATGTTTCATCTGCATTAGCATACAACTTTAGTGTCAGATTTCTGCTCCTCTTGCATGCATTTTCTAGTGCTGTTTCTGGGTTTCATATCAGTTGATATGTATTGGTGTCCTCCAGTTGGCAAAGCCCCTCCCGTCTAGTTTTTGGTTGTCCATACCACTACTATGGCTCCTTTGTCTACTGGTTTTATCACAATGTCCAATCTATTGTCCCTTATCCAGTTTATCCTTACCACTGTTTGTCCCTATCCACTGTGGTAAGGATTTGTTTGACCCTACATGACAGTGTTTCCCTTGACCCATCCTTGAGCGTCTGCACTTATTCTCATAGTCCTCGTATCCTCAGGGTTGGCATATCTTGTGTGAATGTCGGGTGTAGATATTTGTGTGAGAACTGTAGGGAAATGACACCACATAATCCTTGGGCTATCACTGTAACCTTTTTTGCACTAGGGAATTTTGCACTCTGTAGGCTATGACTTGAAAATATCACTGCAAATAATGTCACTAGAGTTGCAGTTAATCACCACTGGTACTGTACTCCTCAATTAGGACTTCACTGGACTCGGTCACTTGAGTAGCAAGAACTTCAGTCGCTCACACTGAACTCTTTTCTAGCTGCATATAAATCTTACATTGATAGGGGCTGGCACTGTGTGCCAGCCCCTATCTCATAGACTGGCTATGGAGTAATCACCCTGTTGATTACTGGCTAAGAACTCATAGACTGGCTATGGAGTAATCACCCTGTTGTGATTTTCTACACTGATGTTATTGCACTATCTGTAGCGAATCTGGAGCTGAAATCAAATTTATTTGGAGCAAAAGAATTTTGTAACACAACATCAGCATGGGTTCAGGGATGGTAAGTCCTGCCTCAAAGGATTAATTGAATTCTATGACCAGGCAACACAAATTAGGCGAGAGAGAGGGCTGGGCAGACTGCATATTTTTGGATTGCCAGAAAACCTTTGACACAGGACTACATAAGAGACTAGTGCACAAGCTGGAAATGCAGACGGGAGTGAAAGGGAAGGTACTCCACTGGATAAGGGAGTACTTAAGCAACAGAAGACAGCGAGTCACTGAGGGGGGGGGAGGTCTCAGAGTAGCGAGGCGTCACCAGTGGAGTCCCACAGGGATCAGTCCTTGGACCTATACTGTTTCTGATGTATGTAAATGATCTCCCAGAGGGAATAGACTCATTCCTCTCAATGTTTGCTGATGATGCAAAAATTATGAGGAGGATTAAGACAGAAGAAGATAGTATAAAGCTACAAGATGACCTAGACAAACTGAAAGAATGGTCCAACAAATGGCTACTAAAGTTCAACCCAAGTAAATGTAAGGTGAGGAAACTAGACAGAGGAAATAGGTGGTCAGACACGGGATACTGAATGGGAGATGAAGTCCTTCATAAAATGGGCAGAGAGAGAGATATAGGAGGATATCATGCGAAACCTGTCTCTTGAGGCCCACATAAAAAGAACAACATCGGTGGCATTTGCAAGGCTGGTTAACCTCAAAACTGCCTTCAGAAACCTGTGTAAGAAATCCTTCAGAACCTTATACAGTATACCACACATGTAAGGTTAATCCTGGAGAATGAGGCCCCAGCATGGAGCCCAAATCATGTCAAGCAAAAGACAAAGCTGGAAAAAGTTCAGAGGTACTGTATACCACTAGGCTAATCTCAGAACTAAGAGGCACGAGTTATGAGGAAAGGCTGCATGAACTGCACCTCATGTGACTGGAGGACATGATCACCACATACAAAATTCTTGGGAATTGACAGGGTAGTCAAGGATGGATTATTTAACACGGGTGGTACACACACAAGGAGAGACAGATGGAAGCCGAGTATCCAAATGACCCACAGAGACATTAGAAAGAACTTTTTCAGTGTCAGAGTAGTTAGTAAATGGAATGCACTAGAAAGTAATGTAGTGGAGGCCGACTCCATACACAGTTTCAAATGTAGATATGATGGAGCTTGAGAAGCTCGGGAATCTGTACACCAGTAGATTGACGACCGAGACGTTAGCGGGACCAAAGAGCCAAAGCTCAACCCCCCCTTCCCCAGCAAGCACAACTAATTGAGTACAACTAGGTGAATACTCTGGTTCTTGACCACTGACATCTTCCAAGTTACACCTAGATCCTGCAATCAAGAATCTTGCCATTAGCATAGTACAGGCTCTTGGGAAATTCATCAAAATCTAATTGAAGATAACAGGGTCACAACCTTATTCTGTCTCAGCTTTAGGCTCTGAATGTTGGCCTGACATGGTGCATAAAGACAAATCCCTCACTATTCGGTAGCAATCTGAAGTACCCCTCACGGCTTAAGTGATAGAGACATCCCTCTGGATCAATGAGCCACTCACGACTCCCTTTCATCTGTTACGTGACCCCAGGTCACATGTTGAGTGCCAGATTTGTACAACCTCTAGCCAGTCATATTGTACTCTTGTATCTAGGCTAATTAGACTGAGCTTTCTTGGTACCAAAATCCTGCCAAGACGACACTACTGGATGCCATGTTTGAAATATGGCCAGGTAGGCTATCCCTTTTTCATATTTGCATAGTGCTAGAACATTAAAAATTATATTCTGGTCATGTAATTTTAACTATCTGACGTGTTTGAAAAGTTAAGAGTATGACTTGAGAGCAAGAAATCTTGACACGTGTTATGTAGATGACACTGTAACACTAGCAACAAGGAGCCTCCAAGGACCCACCAAAATTAGGCATTTCATTGCATTCAATGCTGGTTTATTTGTTAGGTATAAAATGTTGGTTTTGCTAAATTCATTTGATTTGCTGCATGATTTCAATTAAAGACCAAATGTTTCCTTTATCACAGATACAAGAAGAATTTAAAAGCTTTCTACATCGTGCACCCAACCTTATGGACAAAGATAATGACTTGGTGGTTTACAACTTTCATGGCACCCCAGATCAAGCATAAGGTTAGTTGTATCTTAATATGAAAGCATATCAATGTCAATTAAAGTTGCTGTATCTAGAAATGTAGATAATCTAGTACATTACTTTAAGGCACGAAATAGTAGCTAGAGAAGTGTGTATAAGATGCTAGCAGTTCAACTGGTGTGCCATCACAATTCAAAATAGGTGACAGAGACCAGGCCATTGTAGGCAGGGGGGGAGGTTATAATCAGATCCAATGCAAGATAGCACTATTCAAGAGGGAGATGGGTGGAAAAAAAAAAGAGGGCCTGAATGGGGGCTTGAACCCCCCCTCGACTTCAAAATGCAATAGCTGTCAGATCAAGGAGATTGCATGCTGCCTTTGCTGCAGTATGCGCAGTATCCTCACATGTGCATAGAAAAATGCTTCACACCTTATTATGTTTGCCGAGTCCCCTAATCTTTGAAAGAGATTAGTAGATCCAGTAAATGCTGCCATTTGCCAGCAACAGAATTGAACGTCATTATGGGCAAAGCCACTTTTAAACCGCCATGCTTCCAACTATTTATATGATTTTTTCTACTTATTTAAGGTAATGTGGTTTTGTAAGTTGCTTAGTATATAACATATCCACCAGACAATGATTCGGCAAAAGCATGTCACTGATTATAATGTGTGTGTTTCATAACTGTAATCTGATCCTTTGTAAATCTTATGAATAAAATGTTATAATAATAATAATAGTAATACAGTACTGTAATACTTTATAATACTTTTCGATGGTACATATATGTGCATATCATATGAAGTACAGTATTGTACTGTATTAAGGAAGTGCATAAGATTTCAAAGTTTTGCACAATCTTAGGGCTCACAATTGCTGCCTCGGGCCTCTAGTAACAATCCCCCATTACAAAAACAATCTTGAGTCCCTCATTTTTCTTATAGGGCCTTGGTAAAAAAAAAAAAAAAAAAAAAAAAAAAAAGCATTTCTGGCAACATCACCATCCAGTGTCTGAATGTGCATGGCAGCCATACCAGCAGACACTGAAATTTTAACAGCAAATGAGTAATTAGTATTATATATTTCAGACAAAAATGTGTGCTATGTCCAATTATAGGATTTAGGCTTATATATATACTGTATTAATATTAATAAATACAGTGTGTGTATTTAGTTTCAGTATGTACAGATACACATGTTTATCTGTACATACTTGTGCTTTCAAAGTTATACCGAATGAACTTCATCTTTGACACATCAGTGCAACGTATTAGAACAAACTATATAAAGTGAGAAACAATGAAAATAAATTGCAGTTATTCCTGTGTGGCATAAATTGAGTTATTCCTCATTTCTACTGAAAAAATGACTTGTTTGGATTTTTGTGCTTCCTGGATGCTAATTAACATTGTCAAAAGAAAAATTTAGCTTTTCAAAAAAATTTATTTTTTTGTTTACCGCAGGGATGTCGGCTATTAACTTAGTGTGCAGCCCAGGGTTTAAGTTTCCTCATTCTCATTTCAGATAAGTCTGTACATCTAAAGTAAATGTGTTCTAGTACTGGATTACTGTAATAACTGTGTACATTATATAATTAAAAAATATAATTTTTTTTTTTTGTGTAGGACCCTTCAGTTGCTTTCCGAATCTTGAGGTTATCTTGAGGTCATCTTGAGATGATTTCGCGGCTTAGCGTCCCCGCGGCCCGGTTCTTGACCAGGCCTCCTTTTTGTTGCACACCCCCCAGGAAGCAGCCCATAGCAGCTGTCTAACTCCCAGGTACTTATTTACTGCTAGGTGAACAGGGGCATCAAGGTGAAAGAAACTTCTGCTCATTTGTTTCCGCCTCCACCGGGGATCAAACCCGGAACCTTAGGACTACGAATCCCAAGCGCTGTCCATTCAGCTGTCGGACCCCCACCCCCCTACCAAGCTTAGCTCTGGTACCACCAAGCCTTTACTCTCCATCTTTTGGTTTCTCCTCTACCTGTGCCTCTGTACTGGGTACGGAGGACGGTTTGTTTCCTTTTCAGACAAGGTCGCCTGTTCCTTTGTTATCGCAAATCCTGTGGTTGACTCCCCTAAGCGAGTCCCCAATACCTCTGAATGTTGAGATACAGAGGGGGACCCACCAAAAAGAGGCATTTCATTACATTTGACACTGGATATCATGGAGGGCATCCCTCCATATCTGGCCTTTGTTAGCATGGTAAGTAAAACAGAAGGGCTGACTGTGGCAAGAAAGAACAGTAAGAGCCAGGACACTACTCTTTAGGTGGCAACTTCTATAGGGCAATCTAAACAACTACCCAGGCCCAAAAAGCCAGAAAAGTAGAAAATGCTATAAGCAGTGGACAGAGCAGGCCTGCAAAGAGCAGGAAGGCAAATGAAACTACCCAGCAAGTCGGCAAGAGCCAGGCACTGAAACAAGGAACCAAGAACATCGGCCTCACAAAGCTCCCACCTGAACAATCCAAGGATAAAGCAGGACACTAAGCATTGCTCCCAGTGGGCAGAACGCAGGAGAAACCCCCAGCCAGCATGTCACCAGGAAAGGCAATGTAGGCAGAAGGAACAGACCCATGACAAAAAGAAGAATGTTATTGTATTTTTTTTTTTTTTTTTTTTTTTTTTTTTTTTTTTTTTTTTTTTTTTTATTTTTTTTTTTTTGAGATATATACAAGAGTTGTTACATTCTTGTACAGCCACTAGTACGCGTAGCGTTTCGGGCAAGCTATGGTCCCTGGAATACGATCCCCTGCCGCGAAGAATCGTTTTTTCATCCAAGTACACATTTTACTGTTGCGTTAAACAGAGGCTACAGTTAAGGAATTGCGCCCAGTAAATCCTCCCCGGCCAGGATACGAACCCATGACATAGCGCTCGCGGAACGCCAGACGAGTGTCTTACCACTACACCACGGAGACTGTTATTTGTGGAAGTGAAGGGTATTTTACTTGGTGTTGCTATCTGATTCTGGTAGGGGTGTATATTGTAGAAAATTTGTAGGCGTGACCATAGGTGCCTGCAAGATAAAGAGTGCTAGAGTCCTAAACACCATCAATACATTCAATATAACAAACACGATCACTGAAAGGGGTGTCGACATAATACATGCAGACTTTGTTATGCAAGCCCCTTGGTTGCATAACAAAGTACTCTGCCAGCAGGCTTTTAAGATTAAGGTTCTTGAAGGAAAAAAGAACCAGACAAATCCTCATCTGCTACATAATATTGCACAGATGCATATAGAAGCAAACTTGGCATCTGACAGCTTCACTCACTTCACAGATGCATCAGTAGATCAGCAGGGACAAGAAACCAGAGCTGCAGTTAAAGAAGGAAACTCTGTAAATAGTTGGAGACTCTCAAATGGGTGTTTGATTTTACAAACAAAGATGCTAGCTATTCAAAAGGCTTTGAAACATACTCTTGCTGAATACCGACATGATGTTATACGTACAGATTCGAGAACTGCTATTGAAACCTTGCAACAAGAACACAAATGTGATAACACCCATCTGATCACAAATGTCATATCATTAATGCAAACACTCAAACGACAAGGCCGACGGGTACTTATCAACTGGGTGCCAAGTCATGTGGGAATAATAGGAAATGACATTGCAGATGTAGTTGCAAAACTTGCAACTAAGAGAAGAAATGTAGACATTTACATACTACAGAGTCTATCACAGATTAAGAAAGTAATTAGAAACAGAGCAATTTAAAAGATGTACAGTGACCACAATATAGCAGTTGCAACATCAGGATCTGTGAGTTGGTACAAGAATTTAACCAACTATGAACCACTTAGTTTCATGAAAGGGAGCAGTAGAACAACAGAAGTACGCTTACATCGCATCGGGCTTGGATATCCATGTGCATGGGAAAGAGGCTTAAAAGTTCCGGAAGATGAGAGGAAATGTCAGCACTGTGGAGAAATGCCTGACAGACCACTGGAACATTATCTAACACAGTGCAGAGTAACAAATCCATTAAGATTTCAACTTAGATTCAACAGAGCAGTTGTTGTTGCTAAACACCTGGGACAAAATCTTACCGAAGCGACCATACGAGTCGTAAATACTCGTACTCCGCCCAAGTAAAACAGAAACAAGCAATACTTGGTGGGCCAGCCAGAGGCTTAGGGCCCGTGCAGGAATATAAAAAAAAATGGTCCCATGATGATTATGGTACCTGTCAAGACTTCTCAACATTTTATCTCGTCTTCTGTTTTGTAGAATGAGGATTGCATAATCAGTTTGACATTTCCTTTTTAAAATTTTTGAATTGTGTGAAAATTTAATTTTAAATTGTATTTAATATTTTTATTTATTTCCAGGTTCACTCTGTACCAGGTGTGGAATACTTGTATGATATTATCGACCCAGACCAACTGGAAATCCCTGCTTATATTACTGAACATGACATGACAGTAAGTTGCTTCCATTTGTAATGTGTTTTTCATTCATATATTTCTATGAATATGTTTGGAAGTTCTTGAAATTGTTGAGGCTGTTTTAACTCTTTTGTGGACACTGGACAATGACACTGTATTACTAAGCCTGGAGACTGCTTTTCTGAATAGCAGTTTGTACCCTCGCTACTCATCCCTATTTGTTTGTCGTTTTGTATTGCATCCATGGAATCATGATACACATGGCAATTATGTTACTGACTAGAAAAAAATCTGCCACTTTATTATATTGTTGGGGCAGCACATCATTTTCTTCTTAACCAATGCACTGCACAAAGTGCCTTAAGCACTGTGCTGCACAGCCTTAAAATATGACAGTCCCGCTGTGCACCAAAAATATATTCTCCGCAAATTTTTTTTCTTGTATTGTTAAAATGCGGTCTCTGATCACCAGAAACTAAAAACAAACACAGTATTCATGTAATTATACCACTTCACTCTTCAATAACAGCTAACTTTGACAAGCAGAATAACTCCATCATTCAAGGTAAATAATTTTATTTTTTTATATTAGATGTCTTAAAAATATTAGTTTAGTGAAAATTATGGGTGTACCGGGAACGCATCTCCCTTTTATAGCATTGCGTCTATGGAAAATCTCGATCCGCGTTCCGAATAACTGCTTAAGTCAGTCTCAGAACATAACTCACTCATAATGAGGAATGATGAGGAATGATACATTCATAATCACAAAACATAGCGCATTTTGTTCTGCCCGAAACGCTTTGCGTAATATTGGCTTTAGACTTTGTATGTACTAGCTCTATCAATAAATCCATCAATGTTTGTATCTCACCTTGTATGTATGTACTTTACCTGAATAAACATTTTGATTTTTTGATTTTGATAATTGGGGGGGTGTATAAGCTTTATATATGTATCACCTGTATAAGCATTAGTATTAATAACTGTAAATTCATAGTTTTATTATTAAAATAACTAGTATATAAACAGGTATCCATCCTTTTCAGATCAACGGCATTCGTTACTACAGGCCTGGTGCTGTGCCATCTTGAAGAGGTTATTAATCCAAGCAGACTTTAAATATTACCTTTCCATGGTTTATATCATTTGGAGATGCAGGTAGATGATTGTTTATGCATGCATTTCTTGGAAGAGGTAAGAATTGTTATTGAGAATCATTCATTGTTGAATTTATATTGATTCAACTTTTCAGCAATACTATGAAGTTTCTTATTACACTGACCTTGAATATAGCCCATATTTATCATAGTCTTGTTCTACAGTATAGGTATTGCCATACCTTCCTCATATTGTGGCCTTGTTTCCAAAAGTTAGAATGATAGGTTCAAGTACTTATAAAGTGTAATTTGGGTAGGAATGAAACGTGTTGTGTACGTAAGTGTTCACCTTAAGTAGCGTGCACATTTAGGATTATTGAGGCATAGTATAATCAAAACAGAAACATCCAAGAGGAGAGTCGCCTCAAATTCTTACTTTTGTAAATGTGGCTACACAAGATTTGACTGGAAGATCTGATGCTCAATATCTGTATAGAAATGATTTGTCAGGTCATTTGTACTTTGTCTTGTTTTGTTTAGTATGCAGGTCTGAGTAAAGATTGCATATAAGAATTTGGATGTAAATGAACATATCCTATTAGCTGTGATTTTATTTTGGGGCTCGGTCCATACTGGGATGCAAGGCAAACATATTCATTAAGATTCAATGTTCACTTGTGAAGTATGTTGATATACATTACTGATGACAAATCTCTTAATAGTTTGCAAATTAATGGTAAATATTTTATGAATTTTTTTTTCTCGTCTATAGTCAAGATTTTAGGCTGCACTTTACGAAAGGATATTTCGGTGTAGGCCAGCATCAGTAGGCACTGAAGTATATTTAAAAATTGTCACACTTGTAGGATGAATCATGTAAAAATATCATTAGCATGATCAATAGAGGTCAAAATTCTGAACTAAAGAACTCTTATCAGTTTAAAAATGGCATGAATATAACTTTGAGCTAGTACATAGTTTGGGAAGACCCCTGCTTTTTGGTACTGAGAATGCAATAAACATTGTAAATTATATACCTGCAATTCAACAGAGGCACAAGTTAAATTCTTCAGGGAGGACCCAATTTAATGTACGAGAGGGAAATTATTAATGTTTTATTGGGTGTATAAGATGAATATCTTGCATAGAGAGGACTTGCATGTTGTATGTCATTGCTTTTACCTGTTCATATACGTGTTGTGCCAAACTGTTGAAGTTAGGTATTCAGAGATTAATGATGCCATGGACAGGATATGATATGATAGTGAGCATAATGCCATCTAGGATATTGTAACTATACTGCATTATAGTCCTAGCCTAGTAATGTGTTTTTTGGTTGAAATTGCAAAATAACTGAATGAACAAATTATCTTATGAATAATTGCATTGATGGAGGAAAGGACATAACATTTTTTTTAGCATGTACTATATTTACTTCCTGTATACACAATTTGCATATCAAATGGTAAGGAATTACACAAGATTAAGTGCATCATGAGAACATTTTATTTCAGTGAATAACTAATGAATTTATTTTATTTTCATGCAAATGAAGTAGTAATCCAGAATGGTCTGACTATGCCAGTGTTAAAAGGTAATTCTCAAGTACAGTAGCTCTCAGAATTTTATTTAACAATCTTGCAAAATTTTGTTTAAAATATATATATATATAAATAAATTAATTAATTAATTAGATCATTTTCTTTGCAAGTGATGGGAAAATGAAGAATAGTTAATGAAGGAACAGTTAGGGATTCCATTTACCTGATTCCATTTATTTAAGTTAGGGAGCTTAGAGGATTCCTGTGTAACAATAATCACTGGTTGCAAGCATTCAACATTTCAAGTGCCACATTTTGACATGCTCAAGTTTTGTACAGGTCTTTGGGAACTGATGCTTTGGCTCTAATATTTTTGAAAGCCAATGGAAATTGTACTATTTTGATGTAAGCATTTTAAGATGGGTTATGAAGCTTGAACAAAAATCTTGATATTGTCTTAAAAATTATGAATGTCCTCTGGCAGAAGGCAAGAATACAAATGGTCTAAGCATCATATTTGAGCACCTTTACTGGATTTTGACTTGTATGTTAGACCTGAAACTGCATTCTTTATAATGCATATTATGCTGTACAGAATAAGTTTGTAGATCACATTTTTCAATATAGAAAACGTTTTTTTTTTAGCATTTGTTTTTATATTGTATGTTAAAAGTTCCATTGAGACTGTTGATAATCCTGTAAATACCTGCAAGCTTCATATTAACTATTCTACTCCAACATATACTTCCAATACATTAAAACTATACTCTATAGAATTATTATTGCTATTAAAAATTATTTATCAGGTAGCCTTATGCCTGCTAGATAAATGTTTTTGGATTATGTCTTTGAATTTGGAAATGTCTTTGAATTTTGGAATAGGTAAACCATTTTAGTTTCAAGTTTGACAATTGGCATTCGAGATGAATAAAGATGTTTAATTGTACAGCATCTTCAAATTTGAAGCATCACTAAATTGGTTGAAGTTTTAGAATTGTATTTAATGTGGCTGCCAATTGTGGGTTAATTTTTGTTTGACCTACTTATAATAAATTACAATGGTTTAAGGTTTTTTAGAAAAAGATCCTTTTAATTAGATTCATGTTATTTGAATAAAGATATTGATTCTTTACAGTAGAGAAAATGAGTATCAAAGATATAATTAGTGTTGTTTACTCAGCAAAGTTTTCGATTGAACAATAAAATGTTTACTCCTTAACACTTAATAAATAACTTTTTCCCATAATTTAATTTGCAAGCTTTTGTTGTAGGTAAGAAATGGTAGTTCATCCATGTTGCAAGACATACAAGCCTTAATGCATCATTTGATACTAATGGAAGCCAATGCTGTCAGCTTCCTTGAATATTTCCTGTTGGTTATAGTTATTCAAAGTACTGTATGAACTCGATTATCCAGACTATATATGGGAAGGCCCCCCCTTCCATCTGGATAAGCCAGAATGCTTACAGGGGAAGTTAAAAAAATTCACATTCACAATTTTTTGTACCCCAATCAACATAATTTGAACTTCAACACTCAAAAATATAACTTAAAAGCAAAACTAAAGCTTACCTTGTTGCAGTTTCTTCTTGTTTGATAATGTAGATCTTCAAATGTGTAATTTTTTTAAAATTTGTATAACCTAATCTCCGGTTATCCGGATATGGCGAAGTTTTGCCAGAAAATTATCCAGACTCGATTTAAACTCTATGCCTGTCCGCGGTATCCAGCCAAACTAACGGTTATCTGGATCACAATCCGGATGTTGCAAAGTTTTTCCAAGAAAATTATCCAGATGTAGTTTTGGCCGGATAACCCAAATATCCGGTTTAGCTGAATCTGGATAAACGAATTCGTGCAGTAATACTATTATCGAGTAGGAGTTGATGAATGCCATGCTTATCAACAAAAATTCACTTGCATAAACTTACAAAAGGCCTGCACTACCTCCTACAGTTGCATGTTATGGGAGCAAGCTCTCGTCTCTGTGGAGGATCTAGAAACAGGTTTTATTTTGTGATATTAGTGCCATGAGAACCTTACTTAAAATGTAGCTGTAGTTATTATGAAAACTTGATATTGTATTTGTTTTGTATGGCCATAGTTCAGTTAAGATACTTTGTAGTTAAGGAAGATTGCTAGCTCCTTTGTTATATTTGATAACATAGTTATAGATTTTATACTTGTTGGATATTAATACATTCTTGTTTATTATGTTAGAGTTTAACAAAATATAATGTTAAATTATAGAAAAATTTGTTGACCAAACCACACACTAGAAAGTGAAGAGACGATGACATTTTGGTCCGTCCTGTACCATTAGCAAGTCGATTGCGACTTGATAATGGTCCAGGACGGACCGAAACGTCCTCGTCTCTTCAGTTTCTAGTGTGTGGTTTGGTCAACAAATTTTAGCCACATTATTGTGACCCCTCATCTGCATATAGAAAAATTATTGTAAAGGATGACTGATATTTTCAATTTCATTAGAGTACTTAAATATGCAATTTTGATGTATATCCCTAAATATTCAGTAATGGTAATTTTCTAGGTTATGCTCTTAACACAGCATGAAATACTGTACAGTACACCAGTTTTAATAAAAAGAAAGACCAGAAATCCTTGTGTGATGAATCGCTGCAGCTGTGCTGCTTGGTGTGTTCACATGTTGTAATCGATGAATTAATACTGTTGTAGACTACACAACACATGTCAGAGTTGTGTACAGTCAGCAGTGGAATTTTTCTTGTACCCTTGTGTACCCTTGTGTAAAGGAACAATGCAAGGGAAGGTTAGTGTATTTTAAGAGAAGAACTGTTGTTATCCAAGATTTGTATGGGCACAATACATATTTACACCCTTCCCCTTTCCCCTTGATACGAATAAGAGGGTTATTACCAGAAAAGTTGTATTTTTGTAGTTGATACAGTCTGTTGAACATTTCTTCCTAGCCTTTGTGTATGCGTGTCTAATCTAGAAAATATCACTGAGGCGCTGGACAAAATGTATAACCTAGGCAGCTATATATAGTTACTTCCCAATAGTGGTAGTGTCCAGTCAACTGTGATTAATGCATTCACATGGAATCCACAATAAACAATGTGATGAAAGGGAATAATACATGATATAAAACTCTAATACGCATTATAAAAATATTGGCTAAACATGGATCCATTGTGATTGTATTGAAAAGGAAGAGTTTATTTAATGCCTTGTACCATGTAGCAATATAAAATTATAAGCATTGTAAAGGTTTGCTTTCCCCATTGCATTAGGGAAAACTAAGCGATGCATGCATCAAGACTCTTCCTCTTGATGTAACTATTAACTAGAAAGTGTGGTGTGCCATAGTCTAGCTGTAATCATAAGTCAAAGATGTTGCATTATAAATTTCATCTTTATTTAGATTTCTTGTTCTTTCTGCTGTAGCAGTTTGATTTGCAGTTGTGTACTAAGTGTGCTCCCAAAATATGGATACGTAATAGTTTTACCTTGTATGGAATATAATGTAAAATTAGCTAACTTTTTGTTAAGCAAAGATGTCATGTAAAAATTACTATCATTTTGGCAATAAATCAAATTAATCTAGTTATACTAATCAGTATGAATTGCCAAAAATATATATGTACATTTTTTTTTATTTTTTTTTTTTAAGCTAAATTTTTAGACTGCCTACTTTTTATGACAAAACAAGCTATTACCAAGTATATGAATACTGTAGATTATTTTATAATTTTATGATTTAACTTTTCTGTTGCTTTTAGAATTAATTTGTGTTTGGCTAATTACTCCTGCAACTCCCTATTCCTTTGTTCCATGGTGAGATGTTAATTCAGGTATGTAATAAAAAGATAATTTTCAATCTCTAAATTTGTGCATTCCTATACTTTTAGTACAATTTTAAGATTTTTGAGCAAATATTCCATTACAAAAATGTGAACTTTGTATATTAAGATTAGCTTATTCAGGTTGTTTTTCTATCTTGTCGGTTGTGTTAAGAGGCATTGTGTCTTAAACCTCAGACAATTGTCCTGGTTACCTCAGTCATTCTTCAATGCAATTGTGAAATTTGTTTATCATTCACATATGCTGTATGTTGTTTATCAGTTTTGCTTTACATGTACAATATATAGGTTAGTGGATTTTATGTTGCCATGTTAATAATGCAGTACAGTATATAAATAGTTAAAAATATATAATGTTGTACATTATTACCTATTTTTGGAGGCCAAACAGAAAACCTATTTTCCATCAAGCTTATTGGTTTTGTTAAGTAAACCATTTCAGAAATGTTATAATTTCTCTTGTTGGACACAAGCTTAACTATCGGCTTCCATTCAAGGTCAACAAGCTACTATTGTGGATGGATAGGAATAAAACAGGAGATTCAGTGAGGCCCAACTAAATAAATTGGGAAGCCCGGGTAATTGGTCAAGCAGGTCGGGCTCCATATTGGTCTCTGGGTTATCATTCAGACTAGACACTAGTTACCTGTATACTCGCTCCTAGTAATACCCCTGGGGTTGTCCGAGTCTTATAATTCCCTTTGTTGGGCTCTGTAGTGGGTGAGGCTCGGAAGAGAAATGTAATGCAATATATATCTGCTTACTCAGTTCTCACCCTCGTACCCCTCCCTATCCGGCCCGTTGTCGTCGTGGAGGGGCTTAGTGGGAGGCTGCCGGAGTGTGATGCTCCTTAGGTCAGTCCTCTGTTCTTTTGAAGACTTATGCTCCTGCTGCTCTCTTCTCGAATTATGCCGGATAACTTTTCCTTAGGTTTCATTTTTCTCTCTCTTCCCCCCTCCCCCCCCCTGCCCCTCTTCTCCTTTCTCATTTCCCGCTAACCTTTTGCATGTTTTGATTATTCTTTAGACCTTCTGTTTTGATGCCCGGGTGTTTGAGGAGGCATATTCTCTCGCCCGTAGAACTGTGGTACCCAGTGTCTCGAGCAAGGGGACACTTTTATTGTCAGTCCTTCTTTCGTCACTGAACCCGATCTTGGACTGATGGTTCTTAAGGCGTTTTTGGGGTGTATACTCACAACACACCCAGGGGTGTGTTGAGTATAGTCTTGAGTTGCCAGTCTTGTGAGTATAGTCTTGGTGAGTTGCCAGTCTTGCCGGGGCCCTGGGGGGCCCCGGCAAGACTGGCAACATGCATCTTGTTGGGTGTCCTATTCTCTAATTATGACTCTGGTGGGTGTGGGGGCACATTCGTGAATGAAAGTATTTACTCTCGTTTTTATGTTGAATACTGTTCCCCTTGTACCTTCTTGGGCTCGTGGAGTGGGCGACCAAGCCCCCAAGTCGGACTGTGTTGGAAAACCGGGCTCTGTATCCCCCACTGCATTGGGCCCCGACCTTGCTCCTCCTTTGACTCTCCTGACTACTCCCCTTGGCTCCCCCTCCCTCCTCTATGGTTGGGTCGAGTCACAAGCCCCAGTGGTGACCACCTCGTCCCCAGGCATGGCTCAGTCTCATTGTGACTACTGCGCCTTTTAACCCCCTCTGTCTCTGAGTTCTCAACGCCGTCCCCGCCATGGTCGCACTCGCACGATCCCTTCCAGTACTGATGCGTACCAAGCCTTGTTTGGTCCCGCTTCGTGGGCCAAATACTTTGATCTCCTTCCCTCTTGATTATACATCTGACGATTTTTCCCTCCATAGGCACCTTGTTGATTCCGTAGATGCCTCTGTAACTTTCAACCCCACCCGTCTCTGTACACGTGTCGTTGCTGCTGCTCCTCAGGATGCAGCCACCTGCTTGGCCGCCTTATCTGGCATTGGCGAGACCTCTGTTCGGGTCTCCAAGGACGCTCGGTTAAATGCCAGTGTTGGAACTGTTCTCCTCCCAACACAATGTTGCAACTGGTGTTAGAAATCTAAAGTACTGCCACGAGGATATTAAGCATATCCTTGAAGCCCAGGACCATTCTGTCTTCCAGGTGGGCACGTTTACTCATCACACTCTTGGTCAGCCCCTTCGGGTTGTGAAAATTACCTTTGATGGTAGGCCTTTCTGCCCTGTCATTCTTGCTGGTGCCAGATGCTCCATTCAGGAGTATATTCCATCTCCTCGGCTCTGTAATAAGTGCTGGAAGTTTGGGCATGATGCCCTCCAATGCTCCAGTCCTGTCTCTGTCCCATGTGTTGGGGCGAGGGTCACTCTAAATCGGAGTGCACTTCTTCCCAGGCCCACTGCCTCAATTGCGGTGAAACCCCACCTTACCGTCTCCCACACGTGTATACATTACAAACTTGAGGCAGCCATCCTCAACTTGAAGCACAGGGAATGTTTGTCTTTTCCTGAGGCGAGGTGCCAAGTTCGTCGTCTTCCCCCTTTCGCTGGCGTCCCTTATGCTCACGTGTTGCGTTCTTCCTCTCCTCCTCCTTCCCACCTTCCTCAGTCTCACAACCGTTTCCAGGCCTTAGACCTGGACATGCCCACTGCCTCCTCCCCTGTTCCTTTACGTTCTATTCCGAAGGGTCCCCCTCCTGGTTCTCTGTCTGGGGTTTCCCTTCTTTCTACCCAGAAAGAAGGGGAACCTCCTTTCTGTCATGTCTCCTGTGTCTTCTTTCTCATTTCCCTCTGATCCTCCTTCCCATCATTCTCCTCCGTCTCTTAGCTCTCCACGCCGCCTGTCTGTGCGGGCTGATGTCCATCACATCACTCTCCCAGAGATCATCTTGTTCGCTCTTGTTCCTCTTCTCCTGTTGAGACGCTAGAGTCTGATGGCCAGTACGTTGTTGCTGGGACACCTATCTCTTTGAGTCAGAAGCGAAAGCCTGGCTCGACTCCTTCCTCCCCCCTGGTGGGTAAGAAGGCTTCGCTTTCTTCCTCGCCCCTACCTCTGACTCTATCGTTCCATCCCCTTCCGTTTTGGCGGCCAAGCCCCCTTGTTCCTGCTATGGAGGTTTCTTTGGCCCCCCCCCCTCTTCCCTCTCGGTTGCTGCCCTTGCTGAGGTGCAGTCCTTGGTTTCTGCCCCTCCTGCTGTTGTCCTTGACCCTCGGTTGTCTCCCCATCCTCCTCCCTCCTCCTCCGGACCCTGCTCGTCTGCCTCTGGTCGGTCCTCCCGCTCCCTTCCCTCCATCCTTACTCAGTTTACCCATGCCCCCTAACCCTGACTTCGCTGACCCTGATCTTGATCCTGCACCTCTTTAACAAGCTGTGTTCCTCTGTTGCTGTCCTTTCTCTTCTTGTCAATGTCTATTCTTCAATGGAATATTTGCAGATATATGCCAATTTCCACGAACTCCAACTTCTGATTTCACAGTTTTCGCTCCTTTGTGTCTGTCTCCAGGAGCTGATGCTTGGTGCTCGTCCTGGTCGCTTCTGTGGCTATTCCTTTCTTCCCCTCCCCCCCTCTCTCCGGCTTTTGCTGAGGCCCGTTCCTCTTCTGCTCTCTTGATTCGTTCTGATGTTCCCTTTGTCCCCCTACTTTTTCCATCGCCTCTCCAATGTTCTGCTGCACGTGTCTTTGTGCGTAAATGGTACACAGTTTGTTCCATTTACCTCCCCCAAATGTCCCGCTTTCTCCTCCCGATCTTAAACACCTTCTGGACTCCTTGCCGTAGCCTATGCTCCTGCTGGGTGATTTCAATTGTCGACATACCCTTTGGGGTAATGTTCTGACAGACACCCAGGGTCGCCTTCTTGAACCGTTCATCCTCTCTTCTTCCCTGTCTCTTCTGAATTCTGGCGAGCCCACTCATTTGGACTCTGACTCGCACCCTTTTATGTCTTGATCTTTCTCTCTGCTTGTCGTGTCTCTACTTGGATTTCACGTGGCAGGTTCTTGATGACCTCCATGGCAGTGACCATTTCCCCATCCTTGTTACCTTTTTCTCTCTTCACCCTCCCCCCTCCTTCCCTAGGTATCAGTTTGATAAGGCAGACTGGAACCTATTTACCCTCCTTGCTGCTCTCTCTGACCTCTCCCGTCTGCCTCTCCCTCGCACCTTTCTCCTTTTTCATGTCATCATCTTTAACGCTGCCCTCTGCTCTATTCCTCGCTCTTCGGGGACCTTGGAAGTGCATTCCCTGGTGGAATATGGACTGTGCTCGGGCTGTCCGCTGTAAGTATGCAGCCTGGAAGAGACACTGTCGCCGGCAGACGGTTGAGTCTTTTCTTTTGGTTTGGAAGGCGAGTGTGGTAGCCCATAGGGCCATCCATACAGCTAAGCATGAATTTTGGAAGTCTTATGTTTCCACCATTACGTCCGAAACTCCTCTGCCGCAGATCTGGAAGCGTGTCAGCAAGATAGCGGGTAAGTTCGTTCCCGATGTCTCGCCGGTCTTTCACCTTCGTGGTGCTCTTGTGGTGGACCCGTTGCAGGTCGCGACCGAACTGGGTCCCCACTTTTCTTCTATTAGCTCTGGTTCTCGTCTTCTCAATCTTTCCTTCTTCATAAACCTGTCCTTGAATCACGTCCTTTAGATTTCTGCATTCATCTCCCTCTTATGGTCGTGCATATCCTTGTTGAATGTCCTGACTTCCGGGACGAGCGTGTGTCTTGTTTTCCGACCGTCCCTCGTGTCATGCGATAGACTTCTTGGTGAATCAGATACTTTTGATATCATTTGCCTTATGCATTTCTGTTCTCGTATTGGCATCCTTGGTGATATTTAGCACCCTCTGATTATTCCGCACATTTAATGGTGCTACATAACCTTCCCAGTTTGGTGCCTTCTTTTGATAATTTACTTTAGTGATTTGGGTTAGGGATTTGCAAAATTTAGGAAGGGGGACCCTCCATAGGGGCAAGGACGGGACAACACGAGGAGAAATATTAGTAACACTAACCAAAAGAGAATTTTGCAGACGAATATAGACCTCCAAGTTCACCAAGGCATCAGTCGTACTGCGGCACTTGCGAAAAACCAAATTGAGAAGGGAAGAGGGGGTGATAATGCTCTTAAGAACCACGTCAGACACATTGACCAAGCGTTCAAAACGTTCGCAGACAACTCGTAAGGGCAATAGGGTGGAAGTCCTTGGGGGATGTCCCGGGAGACGCCGGTTTCTGAATGGGGAGTACAACCGAATCGAGCCAGTCCCTTGGGACTGACGAAGACTCCCAAACCCGGTTATAAAGATTCAGTAAAAACCGAGATGTGCATGGAGGGAGATGGCGAAGCATCTCATAATGTCATCTGATCCCGCTGCCTTAGAACCGCAGATGACCAGGGCAGACTG